CCCGACCTGATTTCAGGTCGGTAAAATATGGTAACTCGCATAGGATGGAACTGTAGCTCCCTGGTTTCGCGTTAACACCACGACCAACAAAATATCCGACAGCGAAACCAAGCGAGCTACAGAACTGCAGCTAGGGAGATATTTGCGATATATTGCGAGGTTGTCTTGTATCATTGTTACTAGAAACTTTTAGGAAACTCTCGTTTCTTTTGTTAGGATGCGTTCTCGGTAAACATTTAAAACAAAGAGAATTAACATACTGCCGACGTTGCGGAGATCATAATTTGCATAAAATTACATATTCGTTCGAAGACGATTCCATCGATTGGGGTTTTCTGCAATGTTTTTTTCGTAACAAATTCATGCAGCATTCTCGGGATTTAGTAGGAATATGAATACTGAAATAAAAATATATATATTCAGATTAAATCTGCACTATGAAACCATACAACTTCCTGTTTCACTTACAGTGCCTCTGGCAGTGGTCAGGAAAAAAAGATGACCAACATTGCTATCTGGGAGTAAAATGAAACTAACAGTGTCTAAACCATCATAACGTTCTCATAAAAAAACTCACAGATTATAATTCAAGGTACAAAATAAACTTATAAAATGTTCAGTAATACATTTTTGGGGTACAAATCTTTGTCGCTATGTTGGACATCAGCAGACGCAGATCTACTGAAACGCTGAAAATTTTCTAGATCATCCTAGTATTTAACCCACAGAAATGATAACAATGTAAACTATAAATATTAATTAAACAATGCATTATACTAAAATATAATTGAATCCGATTTTTCAGCAATTTTCCCGTACTGTTACGACAAAGACAATAATGCAGTACCGGGGTAATGAATACTAACATTTTAGATCATTACCAGGCAGAGTTTTTTGGGTACAAAATGCCATGGTAAATTTCGATTCACAGAAGGCAAAGCTGTCAACAAAACAAACTATCGGTATTTTCATTTTTTTCAAGAACAACAAAACCCTTAGTATCACACAACATTCGCACAGAAGTCGGTGACGCTTATATGTTGATCTTTCGGCTTAATGAGCTCTATTTCTTCAATTTAGTGGACTTGCATAGAAAACGAACGACACTAGCAATATAATGGTATACCGGTAATCAATGGTAATTCACATATTTAACAATAGAGTTTCCTAACCAATTTTCTAGTAACTATGCTTGTATGCATATTAATACAAATGTTGGGGTGACCTCTAAGTCCCGGGTCTCCCAGATTAAAAATTTATGAAGTGTATATTTTCTCACATAATTAAATATATTTTATTGTTAAGAAGCTATCTATGTTTTTTACTACCTTCATTGTTTGAAATAACTGCCAGCCCGGGATGGGTAACTATTCAGTCAAGCTGGTAAAAATCTCAATTACTAGCTCTGTGGTCGTGTAGATTTTTTGAGAAAATAAAAAAAATATATTGCTTTTCACAAAAATCACAAAATGTCTATGGATGTATGATTGTTGTAGACACATGCATGGACAAATTGACCCTACACAAGGTGAATGTCACAAACAATGCAATGTGAAAGCTAAAGATCGAATACTCACCATTTCATGAAAAAAAATGGTCACATAATCGATCCGTAAAAAATAATGATGCACAATGCATAATATTAGACGAAATAAAATCATTAGTGATTTGTGTTAGAGATGGTGACATATTTGATTTTTCACCTAAGGCGCCCCCAGTAAGTTGTAGTCTTGTAATTGGAATTCAATATATGGCGGCCCTCTGTAGACTTATGACATAAACATTTCTTTGTGACTGCGAATATATCATTGATATTTGGAGATATTGTTAAACATTCATTACTAATGTTGATTTTATTTCATTTCCAGATTCAGCATTATTCAAGTCAGTGAATGCACACCACCAGACATGTGTATAACAAACAGTTTGATGTGTGCAAATATGAAGTTGTGAACACATGAACAACCATACCAAAGTGAATTATTTTCACTAAAGAATAAGATGGATGTACGGTATGCATGTTCTGATGCGAAACTCAGTGAACAGTGTGATTTGACACAATAAGGATACTTACTGATTAGAAACTATATCACTTTAAACATTGTAAGATAGCAATAATATATGAGAAACCATAATATTGTCAACAACGTTCTGCTTGGTACGTCAACTAGTTACACGAGTGGTCCTACATCAAATAAAACCTCAATATGAAGAAAATGGGAATAGCTTGGCTGCCAAGTGAATTCAGTACACGGACAAAGCAAGTAATACTGGAGTGACACCTTATTGATATGAACACAATGAGAATAGTTTGGTTGAAAATAAAGAAATGTTTTAACCATTGCAAACAAATAGTAGATTGGAGCTTTATCAATGTCAAGAAAATGCTATAGCTGCACAAAGTGAAATGTCTGTGCATACACAACCACATACTACAGTAAAGCCATATCAATGTGAACTATGTACAAAGAGTTTTATGCTAAAAGCTGATCTAACCAGACACATACGAATCCATACTGGTGATAAACCTTATCCATGTGAACTGTGTGGGAGGAAGTTTTCTAGAAAAGATGAACGAAAAATACACATCAGGAAACACACTGGAGAGAAACCATATAAATGTAAACAATGTGAGAAGAGTTTTATTAGGAAGGACTATTTGACATTTCATATGAAAAAACATGCTTATAAGAATTCATGTCAAATTCATCAACATAAGAAAACATCCTCTATGATACAAGACCCAACGAACCACATGAGTGCACTTACATGGAGTCGGGAGAAACCTTACCCAGAACAAAATGAAAATACCATGACTGCAAATAATGGACTGGTTATGCACAAGCCATATCAATATGAAATAGTTGATAGCACCTTGGCTGAAAACCGTCAAATGTCTACAAATGTACAAATGACAGACATTGGAGTGAAGTATTATTTTTGCCAACCAGATAAAAACGTCCTAGCTGGAAGCCATAAACATTCTTTACACAAGCAGACAGATACTGGAGTGAAGTGTGATGAAAATAAGCCAGATGAAAAAACCATGGTTGTAAATAATGAACTGACTACATCAACGTATACAACAACTGATGCATGGGGGACACTTTATAAATATGTACAACATAGAAATAACTTTGATGCAAACAATGATCTGACCATGCATATGCAGACAGATTCTGGCACAATAGCTAATCAATTTGAACAAAATGAGAATAATTTGACTGGAAATAGTGAATTGAACTTACATATTCTAAAAAATACTCAAGTGAAGCCTTATCAAAAAGATGAAGACAGCACTGGTGCAATCGGTGAATTGTCTGTGCTTGAACAGACACATACTACAGTGAAGCCATATCAATGTGAACTATGTACAAAGAGTTTTATGCTAAAAGCTGATCTAACCAGACACATACGAATCCATACTGGTGATAAACCTTATCCATGTGAACTGTGTGGGAGGAAGTTTTCTAGAAAAGATGAACGAAAAATACACATCAGGAAACACACTGGAGAGAAACCATATAAATGTAAACAATGTGAGAAGAGTTTTATTAGGAAGGACTATCTGACATTTCATATGAAAAAACATGCTTATAAGAATTCATGTCAAAATCATCAAAGTAAGAAAACATCTTCTGTGACACAAGTTCCATTTAATTGTACAAGTACACTTACATGCAGTAAGGAGAAACAACAATTAAAACAAAATAAAAATACAGTCGCTGATAACAGTCAGCTGCACAATCTTAATATTGGAGTGAAGAATTATAAATGTAGACAAGCTGGGAATAACTCTGCTACAAACAGTGAACTGACAATGCACATGCAGAGAGATACTGGAGTGAAGACTCATGAATGCAAATTGAAGGAAAATACCTTGACCGCAAACTGTGACCTGACTATGTACAAGACGATACATACTGATGTGACTCCCTATCACTCTGAACTGAATAAAAATAACTTTTCTGCAAACATCGACTTACCTTTACATGTGGAAACAGATACTGGAATAAAGTCTTATCAATGTAAACCACATGACAACAGTTTTGCTGGAAACAGTGAGATGACAATGCATATGTTATCAAATACTGGACAGGTGAAGCCTTATCAATGCACACAAAATGAAAATACATCTACTCCAAATTGTGTAACCTCTGTGCATACACACCCACATACTACAGTAAAGCCTTATCAATGTGAACTATGTACAAAGAGTTTTATGCTAAAAGCTGATCTAACCAGACACATACGAATCCATACTGGTGATAAACCATATCCATGTGAACTGTGTGGGAGGAAGTTTTCTAGAAAAGATGAACGAAAAATACACATCAGAAAACACACTGGAGAGAAACCATATAAATGTAAACAATGTGAGAAGAGTTTTATTAGGAAGGACTATTTGACATTTCATATGAAAAAACATGCTTATAAGGATTCATGTCAAAATCATCAACATAAGAAAATGTCCTCTTTGATGCAAGATCCAGCTAACCACATGAGTGCACTCACATGGAGTAGGGAGAAACCATACCCAGAACAAAATGAAAATACCGATGCTGCAAACGGTCAACTGTTTACATGGTTGTACAATCATGATACTTATAAATGTGGACAAGATGGGAATAACTTTGCTGCAAACAGTGAACTGACTATGCAAATGCAGAGAGATTCTGCCATGACACTTTATCAGTGTGAACAGGATGAGAATAGTTTGGCTGAAAATAGTGAAGTATCTTTACCATTGCAGACAAATAGTAGATTGAAGCCTTACCAATGTCAAGAAAATGAGAATACCATTGCTGTACAAAGTGAAATGTCTGTGCATACACACCCACATACTACAGTGAAGCCATATCAATGTGAACTATGTACAAAGAGTTTTATGCTAAAAGCTGATCTAACCAGACACATACGAATCCATACTGGTGATAAACCATATCCATGTGAACTGTGTGGGAGGAAGTTTTCTAGAAAAGATGAACGAAAAATACACATCAGGAAACACACTGGAGAGAAACCATATAAATGTAAACAATGTGAGAACAGTTTTATTAGGAAGGACTATTTGACATTTCATATGAAAAAGCATGCTAATAAGAATTCCTATCAAAATCATCAAAGTAAGAAAACATCCTCTGTGATACAAGATCCAACTAACCACATGAGTGCACTTACATCAAGTAGGAAGACGTATCAATATAAACAAAATGAGAATATCTTGGGTGCAAATAGTGAACTTATTATGCACATTCGGGCAGATGCTTCATTAACGTTGAATTTCATTCACGGTAGAGATATTCACCAATATGTCCCTCTCTACATGACCAATTTATTAAGAATGAATAATTTCATCATGTCGTCAGATAAACCTAAAACTAGTTCTCATATTCCAATGGCCTGGTTGATTGCAAAAGTAGTTGAATATCTGACAGAGAAAGAAGGTATAGAAACATTCTATGTGATGCAATGCTTTTCATAGCTTGAATTTACAACCTGTCTTAAATTGATTATGTGAGACTATGTTATCATATGGTAAAAATGGTATAACTTCCCAGGCAGAGTTCTATTTCTACGAATATATCACCATGCGATTTTATGCTTATTGCTGATTGGTCAATGCGTCAGTGGCACTACTTTCAAAGACTCCAACAAAACATTGCCATGCAGGTGTTCGATTTTCGAACCTAACGAAGGCGTACGCGTTGTTTGTAGATTCTGGCTGTTTTCTAAGTGAAAGACTCATTTTTGTACTTTCCATAACAAAAACGTTGTGAAAGTAGCATGATTTAGCCGTCAATACCCCTATGTGCTTTCGTTTCTTTATATTTCTTCATCTGGCAATCGACAGGACAGTCAGTTTGATGAACTCAGTAACAACTTAGTAACCATTATTCCGCTATGAAATTATTATTTTTTTGTAAATTATAACTATTTCACCCTTGACAGTGCATTTACAGAACAATCATTATCAGCTATCGAAAAATATTTTAAAACTTGTTTATCAGTAGGAATAAATCAACACTAGATTCCTCTAATAACAAAAATACGCAAATGGCACATGTAGTAAAAGTCTTGTGGTGTGTGGTGGCAGAGATACTTTCGGCGTTCTAACCGCAGGGAACTCTGGGAAGGAGAATGCTGTCATGTGTGACCAGTGCCAGTAACAGCTCTTTACTATTTTATGAGTGTATCTTGTCCTCCAGGCATTTTCTGCTGTAATCCATTACAGATAATGTAGATATAACTTGTAGTTAAGTAAAAATATAATCTAAAATTGAGACATGCTAACATTTAAAGTCATACTGAATTTCAATATATTGTTTAACTTATACCAACTATGATTAAATTATTTCCAAAATTTAATTACTGTTTGAACAATATTTTGCTTTAGTTATCTACATGTGAAAAAAATATCACAGAAACAAAGCAAGTTGTCCATAAATGAATTGAACAACAAAATGTATTGGAAATGTTTATGTAGTAGTAGGTAATGTATTATCGCAAGGATAGAAATCGGCCGACCACAAACAGTATTTCAAATCAAATTATTTCAGAACACTTTTCTCATTGGTTGTGTCATCTAGAGACAAAGGCTTACATAACTGGGTGTAAACAATGCCACCTTGTTTAGTTATGTTTTGTTTTTAGTCCCTGTTCATCAAAATCATCAAAAATCATGCATTTCTCTGTCGTTTATGGATGGATTTCATTCAAAATTGGTACATACATTATACATTACTCGTCTTTGATGCATGTAATTTTTTTCAGATTAGATTTAAAATGGCTGACTGGTGGTCATTTATCTGACATGCTTTGACTGATTATGTTCAAATTCATTATACATCAAAGATATACTGATGTATTCAAAGTGGTCGACTGGTTGCCATTTTGTTAGTCCCGATTTCAGGCACAGCCTGAAAAGGGGAGTATAGTTTCTTATTTCCGGTTTCCGTCTGTCCACTTTGCTCTACATCTCCAACATTTTCTCAGAAATTCTGCATCAGATATCGATGAAACTTGGCAGGTTGATGAACAAGATCCAGATCTGAAAATCCTAAGTAGGTCTTTTCATGATATTCATCCAAAATTACCTCTTCCAACAACACTGAGAGAAACAACTGAGCATGCTTAGAATAAATAATTAGCTTAGATTGTAATGCTAGGGTTTTCAGCGACGTCATGACCTTGATCTGAATCAGTGACAGAAATGGGCCGAAGTCTGGTTTTTGTTCGGTTTTATGAAAAATTAATGCTGAAATCTTGAAAAAAAGTGTTCAGAAATGTTGTATACTATATCTTTAAATTGTAAAAATTGCACTGCATTATAAAGAGCCATCACTGAAATACAGGGTCACAAAGTTGAAGATCAGTGAAAACACTTTGCAGTTACTGTTTATAAATCTTGGCCAGGCACATTGATACATGTGGTCTAAATATAGCTTCAGTTGTCAGGGTAAGTGGATAAATGGGTCATACCATTACAAATCTCAGTGGGAACTGTAGAGGGGTGTCAGGGCTACATTTTGATGATTGTAGTGCTGAAACAAAGCCAGGTCCTGGTAATATACAAAGACTTGAATTAACAAAGTCAAGTTGTTATTAAAGGTACATCAATTTTTACGACAGATTTATGAATGCAGTTTCTTGAGCATGTATACATGTATGAGACATAGTTTGGTTGCACTTGTGTACTCTTAGATTTTGGATATGGGTCAATGGATATTTTTAGTTATCAGTACAATACTCGATTAAGGGAAATCACTTTATGATGAGTTGTACCCACATAGAGTACATATTAATTCAACTGTTTGCAGATGTTCCATGTATTATTTTAACATGAGTATTTTATAATTAAATGACTGAGACTGTGACATTCATCTTTTAATTATGGCTGTTTCAGCGCAATATCCCTAATATAGATAATTTCTCGTTTGACGATCAGATACAAGATAACAGAATGTCAAACATTTTAATGTTAAAATAATCATAATAATCAAGCACCAGCTTCTGGATTTATATCTGACATGTTTATGTCCCAACTATAAACATAAACAAAACTATATATTTTAAATTTGATAACAGGGGCTGTGCCATTCATGGCTTGTTTAACTAGAGTAAACTTCTCAAAAACTTTGTCACTGGTGGGCGCCCTCAGATCACTCAGATTGATGTCATGAACAGCCTCGACATCATGTATTTAACAGAAACACGTCATTGCTAAAGAGCATGCTTT